TGCCTATATATGCCTCTCTTTTGACCAATTAGATATTTTAATCTATTGTTCATCCATTTAGGATCATTTTTGTTTGATCTGATTTCCCTATTTGGAACATAATTTGACTGAGCAGCTAGAACTATGCCCTGGAAAGCGTCATATCGGCAACCATCACCACCTACCTGACCCTTAGTCAGGTCATTCCAGTTCAGCCCACCTAAGTAATTTTTCAGTCCTATGAAATCAGCCAAGCGGAATTCAGGGACAGAGACTTGATTGCCATTATTAGGGGAATTCCATGATATATTAAAACTGAGTGATTTGTGATCACTTTCCCCAAGCTCATCATTAACCTCAAGATTATTAATTAGTGTTTCCCTACTGGCAAGAACCAAGTCAAGGAGGTTATTTCCCCTAGTTGGCTCTGTCACAAACTGTTTTAAAAAACAATCCTGGATCGTATCAAGAAAGTCACCTGACTCTAAATTTCCTGTCAAATTGCTCCAGTCAATCTGTCTATAGTTGAAATCTCCCATTAGCACAACATTTTCGTATGTAGATGCCTTACGAATTTCGTCCCATAGGAGTTTACTGCACTCCCTATCAAGATTTGGGGCCCTGTAAATCACACCCAAAATTAGTTTTTCTCGGCCCTCGAGAAGCTGTAACCAAACAGATTCAGTGGCTGACGCTTCTAATTTAATATCTTGTCTAACACAACAATTTAAATTGTCTCTGACATACATCGCTACTCCACCACCTTTCCTGTTGACCCTGTCAGCGTGGAATAATTTATAGCCTTGTATGTGACATTCAGAGGGCATCTCTCTATCTTTCAGATTGAGCCAGGTCTCTGTTATAGCAATAATATCTATGTTTCCTGCACTTGCAATTAATCTTAGCTCATTTATCTTATTTCTTACACTCCTGCTATTAGTATAGTAAACCTTAAGGGAGCTAGTCCCTTGCTGCCCTCTGCTGTCCCCCTTTGTTTGCTGACCTGATCTATTGTTTTTTTTTATAACTTCATGCTGAATGCCTTTTATACATTTACTGTTTCCAACCCTAGTGTTGCAACCTGCTTGTGCTTTGAAGTTCACTATTTTTTCACAATGGTTGTTTTGCATGAAGTAATGAAATGTGTTCCTAGGCTGGAACATTTCAGTATGGCTATGGCAATATCGTCAAATATTCAGCTATAGCTACGGCAGCCTAAAAAGGTTCGTTCTAACAGTACTGGAATTACTCTTGGCTACCACATACATGGGTTAGAAGAACTGACGAGATTTTAATGTTATATTTCTTTCATAATGTACAAATATATCGCATGTAATATACATACAATTTCTGGTTCATTTTTCAAACAATGACAAAGATAGATTTTGATAAATGTATACTTTACAGAACAAGGAATATAATCACACACACTCATGTACTGGACTACAGTTCAAACATTGACAAATAACACATTTGTAAGCTTATACTATTTATCAAATACTAGGCACGCAAACGTGTTGGAATAATTGAAGTCTTAATGTATGCATTGTATACAATGGCTAAGTGGCGCACAGAATTCATTTGGATAGCTTCCCATATGGTAATTAGCAATCATGATGACAGTGACAAAGAAGGTAGATGCGCGTGTGGAAGGCCGGAGCCTGAGCTAGATTAGGGCATCCTTATCTCTTTTGTTAAAACTATTCCGCTCAATGATATCAGGTACAATAGGCAAAAACGTCACAGATAACCAGACCTTGAAGTATTAGCACAGCGCCTGCCATGATTTACCCACATATAAAGACTGTGTATGGGCAGCACAAAATGTCCACTAGACCAGATTAGTCTAATTAAGGCCCCGCAGCCCGCTTGCTGCCAACGAAAAAAATTTTATGGCCCATAAATTATCATAAGAAATAATAGTAACATATTTATTGAGAATATTAGCTTAAAGACTAAGAACCTTGCATTTTTAACGCTTTTTTTTTAACTTTAATCTTGATGATGAATTCTTAGCGATTCTGAAGATTTGCCAACCATTTTCCCTCATATCTTGGTGTTTACACACACACACACACAACACTCAGTGGCCTGAATTCTTCGTGGCATTGATTCAGCAAGATACTGGAAACATCTTTAAAAGATCCTGGTCCATATTGACATGATAGCATCATGCAGTTGTTGCAGATCTGTCGGCTATCCATTCATGCTGCGAATCTCCCGCTCCATCACATCCCAAAGATTTACTCCAAATTCTGACTAACATCTTCATGTCGTAGCAAAATCGCGTTTCGTTAGACCAGGTAATGTTTTCCAATCTTCAACTGTCCACTTTCGGTGAACCTGTGTCCACTGTAGCCAGGAGTTGAACCCAGTGTGATTTTCTGCTGCTCTACCCATCCACTTTAATGTTCGACGTGTTGTGCGTCCAGAGATGCTCCTTTGCATACCACTCTTGTAAGGCGTGGTTACTTTAGTTACTGTCATCTTAATGTCAGTTTCAACCAGTCTTTCCATTCTCATCTGACCTCTCGCATTAACAAGAAGTTTTCACCAACAGAATGGCAACTCACAGGATGTTTTGTACTTTTCACACCATTCTTTGTAAATTCTAGAGAATGCAGTACGTGAAAATCCCAAGAGAACACCAGTTTCTTAGATACCCAAACCACCCCGCCTGGCACCAACAATCATTCCACGCCCAAAGTCACCTGGATCACATTTCTTGCATTCTGATGTTTGATCTCAATAACTGTACCTCTTGACCAATTCTGCATGTTTTTAGGCATATATATATATATATATATATATATATATATATATATATATAATATATATATATATATATGTCGTGCCGAATAGGTAAAACTTGCTATTTTGGCTTATAAATAGCAACGACCTTCTTGCCGAATAAGGCAAACGAAAATTTGTGTAATGCAATAATTTCGCAAAATTCATTCTGAACCTAACGAAAAAAATACATTTCATTGTATTTGTTTATTATTAAATTATTGTAAACTTATCTAAAATATATTTAATTGGATTAGGGTAAACTAAATTGCGCTTGTTATAATAAGATTGGGTAAGTTTTCTAAGGTTCTTTTGGTACAAAATTATTAATTTTTACATTAACATATATGAAATTTTTTCAAAAAGGACTTAATTTTAAATGAGTTCTTGCTAATTGGCCAGTTTTACCTATTTGGGACGACACACACACACACATATATATATATATATATATATATATATATATATATATATATATATATATATATATATATATATATATATATATATATATTAGTCGTGCCGAATATGTAAAACTGGTCAATTAGCAAGAACTCATTTAAAATTAAGTTCTTTCTAAAATTTTCTCTTATACGTTTAAAGATATATTTTTTTCATTAATGTTGATGCAAAAATTTATAATTTTGCACCAAAAGGAACTTAGAAAACTTACCTAACCTTATTATATCAAGAGAAATTTATTTTAGCCTAACCCAACTAAATATATTTTAGATTTGTTTACAATAATTTAATACTAAACAAACACAGTGAAATATATTTTTTTCGTTAGGTCCAGAATGATTTTGGCGAAATTATTGCATACTCAAATTTTCACTTGTCCTATATGGCAAGATGAACGCTAAGCCAATATCGCAAGTTCTGCCTATTCGGCACGACATATATATATATATATATATTATAATATATATATATATTATATATATATATATATATTATATATATATATATATATATCCCTTACGGCTTATAATGCCCCACACTCTTATCCCTCCTTGATCCCCCACAACTCAGGATGATTCCCTCATCTGTGACATGGGCTGTCAGTGTTTTTACCTCCATTAACTGGGAAATTAATCACTATCAGATTGCGACTGATAAGCGACATTAATTATTGTGAGAACAGTGTTGGAGAGAGTGTTTGTGAACACGGAGCTTCTTGTTCCTCTGATAAACGACACCAATCAACACATGTTCTTCTTATCCTCACTCCCACAAATGTTGACTTAATGACACACAATCCTATTCGGCCAGGTGCACGGTGTTAGGCTTCAGAAATGTCTCTGATTACAGCGGCCATTTAACTCGCTCTTATTTCGGCAATAAAGTCTAAACAAATGCTACGGCTGGCAGTCGACGAAAATCAAATGGGTTTCTTGTGGTCGTCACGAGGTTAACGAGAAGTAGTGACGGGTTTTTAGTGAGTAAGTAGCTCTTGGCGAGATAGTTATTGGTGTTGCCAGTGAATCATAAGAACTGATTTGCGAGGTGGTGGTGTTTTGTTTATCAGGAAACAACACAATGTCTCCTGACACGGGTTTTAATCAGATGATGACCCATTAAGCGGTTAAACATCCGCAAACCTACCGGAGCAAAGTTATCGCCTTGTCTAATAAAGGATCGTCACATAACTGTATCGTAAGACAATATTTGTGGGGTTAATGTGATTAGTGATGCATCTAGCTCTTGCTTCTTAGCTAAAGGCACCGTTGCTGAGTGCGTAGGCACCGCTCCTTACTACGCGATTAGTGAACGGAAGGTCGAGCCCCTACCGTTTCCTGAGATGTATGACCCATAATGGGTTTAGCGCTCCATATAAATACAAAAATCTTAGTTAAATTAAAATTTAAATTTCCTCACTAAACAAATAATTGTTGCCAATAAGTATTAATGTTTGTACTAATCTCATACACTTCCGTGTAAAGGCGTTATTCTGCTGTGCTTCTTAACTGATTGTGAGGCAGTTTATATTGCATGGGAGTATATAACAAACTCATTGGCTAGGACAAATCGTCCAGGACTGTGTAACGACTTAATCAGATAAATAATAGAGCTTTGGGTCGCATTATGATAAATCTAATGGGTAGCCGCAGAGGGCTCTATCCAGCTTAAGTGAGCATGCGTCCAGATAAGGAAGAGTGTTGGGTGTAAATCACGCCGCCACCCTTGGCAGGTCAACCAACTAACTCGAGGTGTGTTGTTCCTTCCCGCAGCGGTGTAAGGAGAAGCTGAACACGCTGGCCATCAGCGTCATGAACCAGTGGCCTGGCGTCAAGGTCCGAGTTACCGAAGGATGGGACGAAGAGCTACACCACGCCCCACACAGCCTCCACTACGAGGGACGCGCCGTCGACATCACTACCTCCGATAAGGTTAGTACTGAAGGTCTGAAGCAGGTGAAATCAGTGCTGTGACCAGTCTACTGTCATAGGCTGTAAACGGCGCTCCTCTTACAGAAACTTCGACACTCTTTTTGGAACCAGTGACATGTCACCGTAAGGAAAAGACCCGTGTCAGGACTTCGTTCCTGACGAATTTATTATCATCATCTTTGTTGAGTAGCCTCTACCACAAGTCAGGTCAGTGCTGCGGTGTCCGCCACCACCTGTAAGTATTGAAAAGACACCAGTCACGGGTTAGGCCATTGTTGGAAGAGCCACACTCACATGAGAGGCCGATGTTATTAGCTACCCAGATAAAATAAAAGTTAGAAGCTGCCATGAACAGGGGAAGACTTATAGGTCTCTATGTCAGGTTAGCTCAGATTTATCCACTCTGACAACGGTTAGGCTGCACCATTTCTGTTAAGACCAGTAATACTAGCCACAACACCGTAAAGAAACAATAAGTTTTCTTGTTCTAGTTACGAGATAAACTTGTGGCTAAGTAACGTCTGTTACAAAAGGCACTAATTTTAAAACCACTGACTCCACATACAAGACAGACAGACAGACACACACAAACACAGACACACAGACACAGACACACACACACAACACACACACCACACAACACACACACACACACACACACACACACACAACCGTTAATATCACTTTATCAAAATCTACTATTCAGGCGACATTCATTGGCAATAGCATGCTAAAAGGAAACAAATGAGATCTAAGAGCCGTGTGTAAACACACTCTTGAAGTCCGAAGAACGAAGGCGAAAAATCTGAGTGTAAATATACACTCGAAGTCTAAAAGGCTGAAGGTTAAGAAGTGAGTCAACACTATCTGGTGTTCATTCATGAAGAGTCAGCTATGTTGTGAATCCTCAAGCAGATGAAAATACACCAGGAACACTTGGTATTGCCGTAAATACGTATACGGAGAAGAGGGACTATGATATAATATTGCTTGACCACAACACTATGCGTGGTAGTGGCTGTGACATAATATAACTTGCCACAACACTATGCGTGATAGTGGATGTGATGTAATATAGCCTGACCACAACACTATGCGTGATAGTGACTTTGATGCAATATAGCTTGGCCATAACTCTGCGTGAGGAAGAGTGGCTGTGATAATGCAGCCTGGCCACAACACTGACAATGAGTGGCTGTGATAATGCAGCCTGGCCACAACACTGGCAATGAGTGGCTGTGATATAATACGGTCACTACACATATGAAGGAGAGTTCCTGTAATATAATACAGCCTGGTCACTACACCGAGGGGCGAATGAGCTGTGATATAATACAGCCTGGTCACTACAGTGTGTGAAGGAGAGTGGCTGTCAAAACAGTCTGGTCATTACACTGTGTGAAAGAGAGAGGCTGTTATAACAGCCTGGTCACTACAGTGTGTGAAGGAGAGAGGCTGTCATAACAGTCTGGTCACTACACCGTGTAAAGGACAGTGGTTGTCATAACAGCCTGGTCACGATACTGTGTAAGGGAGAGTGGTTATCATAACAGCCTGGTCACTACACTATGTAAGGGAGAGTGGTTATCATAACAGCCTGGTCACTATACTGTGTGAGGGAGAGTGGTTATCATAACAGCCTGGTCACTACACTATGTAACGGAGAGTGGTTATCATAACAACCTGGTCACTACACTATGTAAGGGAGAGTGGTTATCATAACAGCCTGGTCACTATACTGTGTGAGGGAGAGCGGCTGCCATAACAGCCTGGTCACTATACTGTGTGAGGGAGAGCGGCTGCCATAACAGACTGGCTACATTCAAATTTTAAGTATTGTCTTCGATCACCTTTTACTAATGATAAAAAATGCTCTCATGCAATTTGGCACTGAAGACGAGCATTGTACTGGGCATCACTGGCGATGGCAAGACTTTTCAAGCCTTTCATTGACAAAGGTAAGCGTTTGCACGCACCTCATTGAAAATGAAAGACATTTTTCGCTGAGTTCACTGTCAATGGGAAGGTTAACTACACTTAAATAAAAATATCAAGTCTTCCTATTGAGCTCTCTGGCAATAACAAAAGTTTTGTCAAAGAAAGGTATCTTGGTGACCCTTTTGGGGTCTAGTCCCTTGGCCTTTTGTGTATCCACATACTCTTGCGCTACCCTCCACAGGATGAATATGGACGTCCGGTCAGTTATACCTCAGTGATGAGATGCTTGGTGGAATGTACTTTCCGGCGTGTGCCGAAACGTCCTCTGGCATGTGTTAAGACGTGTGGTGGTCGCATGTTCTTCCCTGATGGGGACAAAGTCCCCACATGACCTTCATTTTATGAGAGCTTAGGCTAAAGGATTTTTAACCAAGTAAACTTCAATTCTTGGAAGTACTGACCATATATAAGCTTCACTAGTGAGGGGTTTTGAGAATATACTGGATGCTCTTTGAATATTTGTACAGAAGTTATTGAGTATAAACGAGGTAGGACACTTTCTTTAATAATAAAATTGAAGTACTTAATTTCTAAGTGTTTAAATCTAATATTTTTAAAATATTTAGAACAAAATTTTTAAATCCTAGTATTTTAACGCACGAAAGTAACACAAAATATATAATATATAGCATTAGCTGATTTCCAAGTGGCGTGCATTGTGCTGAAGTTTACATGAGAATAATCTTTTACCTAAATAAACTCACTTAGTGGACACGAGAAGGTATTCATCTTTAGCCAAAACCCTCCAAAGAAATTTTAAGTTTGTCAATAACGCAATCAGACCTCACAAAAATGACAATAATAATGGTTCGAGCCGTGTAAGGAGTTCTATAGAGGAGTCCTCAAGTGAAGTGTACTTGACGAAGGAGGGATGGCTGGGGGTTCCTGACCCGCGGTGAGGCTTGCCCGCCGCATTTCCTCGCAAGGATGACTAGCAACTTGGGATGATTTGCAATACTTTCATCTTCGGTGGTATGCAGTAAAATAGTGTAAAAGTCATTAGATGCAATACAACATCTTCATGCCTAGAGTAAGATTTATTTAATAGAATCAGAAGGGCGAGTTTAAGACAGAATTCACAGTACGAATGACACTTAGTGGAAATAAAAAGATTCTGGATTAACCTACGGAATGGCTACAGCTGCTGAAATATTATATACCAGAGAAAGACTGTGGAGAACGAAGAATTCTTTGTATTATCAACGCAAAATAATATAAATAAGGATAACCAAAGTCAAGCAGCGCAGTCTAAGTACATGAGGTCTGGAATACAACCAAACTTGAAGATACTGGAACATTAGATTCCGTAAAGTGTCTTATTTAAAATACTACACAACTTCACAGTTGAGGAAATGGTAGAAACGTATTAAGAGTTAATATATAACACAAATTTAGGGTTTATGGAAAAATAAGTAAACAAGGTATTTATATATTAGTGTTGGTTTAGAAAGACACGTAAGCAAACACTATAACATATTTATTAGAAAACGTTTCGGTCCTGGGACCTTGATCACAGAAGTGATCAAGGTCCCAGGACCGAAACGTTTTCTAATAAATATGTTATAGTGTTTGCTTACGTGTCTTTCTAAACCAACTTGTCGGTATTTATTACCAAGGTTTATACCATATATTAGAGAAAGTCTTTGGAACACCAGAAAGATATTGGAACGACTGTGAGAGATAATGAATAGTATATTAATTGTGGACGGCGTTAATTTTTAATTCCTGACGCACAGTATGAAATGAAGAAACCTTTTCTTTTGTGGGATACAGGCTGCGTAGGTACAAATATTGTTGAATTCTGTGCTATAATTGAAGAATGCATCTTCTGATGCTAGGAAGATGCAGTTAACGTTATTACCGATTGCAATCATCTGCGACGTCTACTATGATGACGCAAACATAAGAACTAGAAACCATTAGTGATTGTTGGTATGTTATTAGAGAAATTAAAGTCAAGCTCTCTGGTAAGATACCACAGCAGTTGTTATTGACTGTATATAATCTATATTCGTGTTGGAATAGCAAAACATTGGAATCCAACTCAAAGGCATTTACAGCACCTTCGTGCTAGTTGGCAAGCCAGGTACATAACAGTAATCACCTCGAACATAAATCTGCTCACTAAAGTAACGAGACACTAAAATAATAATTCAAGAGGACCACACAACACCATGGAATGACCTGACAGAACAATGATACGACAGATGGAGTGCAAATTCGTGTTTACTTGCTTCCAACTGAACAGCAGATACGCTAAATGTAATTTTTATTTTAAAACAAAGAAAGGTAGCACTGATTAATGAAAATGAGTTGAAAAAACCCCCGCCCAGGATGTGGTGGTAAGCTGGCCTAGTCGTGTTAGTTAGCGGTGAGATATTTATCTTGTGATGACGTGGCTATTGTTACACAACATCAACACCAGGCAGTTAGTGTAGTGTCCTCCTTCACCGCAATAGCACCACTAACCCTCGAGTCATACCTCACAGTATTATTGGCTTAGTTGTTTCCTTTTACGTTCTCCATGTTTGGTCTTTTCTGTGAGATGGACTTACTTCGGAGGTCGAGGGGATTACTATGTTCCTCGAGAGGTTATTCAAGATGAGAACTATTATCTCATGACAAATTTTGAGAATATAATAAAAAAGATGTCAGCAACTTACTCTGTAGAAGAAGAAGAAGAAGAAGAAGAAGAAGAAGAAGAAGAAGACTTTCTTCGGATAACTAACAGTGAAGGGTTATTAAATCAGAATAATCAAAGAAAGCCAAGCATGTACAACGCTCGTTTATGTTTACTGCTGAAACGTTCTGCCTCTGCAATAGGCCTCAGTCGAATGCAGGAGACTATAACACTAGAGACAGCAGAAGTGGAAAGGTAATAATGAGGTGACCAGTCTCTTAGCATTGATAAAAAGGCTGAGAGACTGATCACTTCAAAATACCTCTCCACTTATTTTATTTCCAGTGTTATATTATCCTGGAATCGATTGAAGAAGCATGTTGTACTAGCGGAACATTTCAGTAATAAATCCACCCAAGTGCTGCTTATTTCAGTTGGGGTCCTAAGGGCCCCTTCCCTTAGGATACCATCCAGCCGATCTATCTATCTATTTAGTGATCAGTGAATAGGAGCAGCAGGTATAAGGAGGCTTTCCTATTCATTTCGACTCACCCAGAGATTAAACCCGGGTCATTTCGAGTGTGAACCGAACGTTCTACCTATTTTCTTATTCACAAGTGTGTCTTACAGTGTAGTCCTGATAGCGACCAGTGAAGAGGTGGGGCCAGGAGCTGTGACTCGATCCCTGCAACACCATACAGGTCAGTACACACAGAAACAATCTCTCACACACGCACACACACAAGATGGGTACAGGATGCACAATAAATTAGCAGCTTCGACAACAAAATTTAAATCTGTACATTCACCACCACTGTGAAAATTCACCACCACTGTGAGCATTCACCATTGTACACATTCACCACCACTGTGGACATTCACCACCACTGTGGACAATCACCACCACTGTGAACATTGACCACCACTGTAGACATTGACTACCACTGTACACATTCACCACTGTACACATTCACCACCTTCATCATCGTCGCCAACTGGCAGAGACCCGGGCCGGCAGTACCGGCGAATCAAAGATTAAGATTACTATTGTGAACATTTACCGCCGCAGTGTGCATTTCCCATCACTGTGTACATTCACTACCATTGTGTACATTCACTATCACTATGTACATTCACCACTGTAGCATGCACTTACCATCACTGTACATTCACCACCACTGTGTACTTTCACCACCAGTGCAAACATTCACCGCCACTGTGAATATTCACCGCCACTGTGAACATTCACCACTAATGTGTATACTCACTACTACCGTATACATTCACAACCACTGAGTGCCTTCACCACTACTTCATTCAGTTCGCCACTTAGCACCGCTCTTAGTGGCCAGTAATAACCAGAACTCACCACTCGCCAACAGGACCGCTCAAAATACGGGATGCTGGCGCGCCTGGCGAGGGAGGCAGGCTTTGACTGGGTTTACTACGAGTCCCGATCCCACATCCACTGCTCAGTCAAGTCAGGTGAGTGTCACTTACACATCTTCTCACTAACCTCTTGATTGTATCGTCTCATCAATCGACAAACCAGTGTGGATAAAGACACTTACGAACAGGCCTTTAGTACAGGAACCGATTCGCCACGGCTTTCGTGGCGACATGTTTCTTAAAATGTCTTGAAACATGCAAAAATGCTTTACCCACAGCTTGTAGGCATCACAGCGACATTTACAACCAAACCTCTGAGTGTCATTCAACACAACTCAAAAATATACTCAAAAATCTACTCAATCCAGCCTGAACCACGATTAGCGGACGGAGGATCAAGCCTCCATAACTCCTTCTTTATTCCGGACAAGGAATAACACTCCCAAGGAGATTGAGCATGCAAGGAAAGAGAGAGAGAGAGAGAGAGAGGGTGGGGAAGTGAGAGGGGCAGGGAGAGCCTGCAGCTATGACCACAGCTCAAGACCATGAGGTTGTACCCCAAAAAAAAAAAAGTTAAAAATATTCCTTGAGATGATTACATACACCTTTTTTGTGTTTTTACTTCGTGGAAGAACGTGTGTGTGAGCGTGCAAAGTTATGCTTTAGTGTTTCACATTACTGTGCACACAATATTGTGTAAGGAACATTGTGTATGGAATATTGTGAATTGAATTGTGTTTACGTGTGTATAATAGTAACCGCAAGTGTGGCCACCCCCACGCTGAGGCATGTCTTGTGTACTTGGTCTGCGTGTGGCCAGTTCTTCTATGGACGTGTGGCCATGTATGCAGGTGTGGCCAGCCTCAAATTGTGGAGAGGTTTCAAAATACTCAATGCTGGTGAAAGTAGCCAGTCTGCATTTCTGAAGAATAGACACACCCATACTGTTGGTGAAGGATCAGTCCTAGCCTGCTGTGTGGCCACTCTTATGCTGTAAATGCAAAGCGTTATAATAATAACAATAATAATAATAATAATAATAATAATATAATAATAATAATAATAATAATAATAATTATTATTATTATTATTATTATTATTTGGAAGCACTAAACGCGTATGAATCATAAAGTTCCTGGACAACGGGAGGTAATCAGTCTGGATCCACGGAAAGGAGTAGTAGCTCTTAGTCCTGGAATCAAGAGCCGTTCACCGGCAAGAAGGGTACCCGCCTTGTACCGTGGGTACGTGGGTGTGGTGGTACCGTGTACCGTGACTAGGGAGATGGTACCGTGTACCGTGACTGGGAGATGGTACTGTGTGTACCGTGACTGGGATGAGGTGGTACCGTGTACCGTGACTGGGAGATGGTACCGTGTACCGTGACTGGGAGATGGTACCGTGTACCGTGACTGGGAGATGGTACCGTGTACCGTGACTGGGAGATGGGCGCAAGGTAACCCATTTATTATTAGCATTTAAGTATGCCTTGATGCTGGTGAGGGGCTCTTGATCTGAGGAACTGAAGCTGCTTCTTCTAGTCCTTGGATTGAACTTGGTTAATTCCCAGTCACTAAGGAGCTGTATGACCCTTCCGGGTTTAACGCTTCGACGCACGCACGCGCGCGCACACACACACACACACACACACACACACACACACACACACACACACACACACACACACACACACAAGGACCACCCCAGCGCCAGGGTGGGTGATGGACGTATCACTGGCAGGATCTGAGGAACTCTGCGCCGCTTCAACAATGTTTCACTCACCTTCACCTGTTCGCGCCTCTCGCCCACAACCCTTCCCCACAACCCTCCCACCACCCTACATCCCCCACAGCCAACCACCCACGCCCTACTAGCCTCCCATTCCGCCCGTTCCACCGCCTCCGGAGTGGGAGGACAGGTGGGAGGGGGAGACAGAGGTCAGGAGAGATGTGGAGGGAATGGGACGAAACATTGTGGGAGAGTGTTAAGTCTGGCGCGAAGGTGGGAGCCACAGACCCCTCATTTCATTCTATCATCTCGTTCAGTATTACAAGGTGCTGGCCAAACCATTATTTGACTCTTTGTTAACAAGCTCCGAACCCGGCGTGGGGGAGGTAGCGTGGGGGAGGTAGCGTGGGGGAGCTAGCGTGGGGGAGCTAGTGTGGGGGAGCTAGCGTGGGGAGCTAGCGTGGGGGAGCTAGCGTAGGGAAGCTAGTGTGGGAGAGCTAGTATAGGGGGGAGCTAGCGTGGGGAAGCTAGAGTGGAGGGAGAGAGCATGGGGGAGCTAGCGTAGGAGAGCTAACGTGAGGGAGCTACTGTGGGGAAGGGAGCGTGGAGGAGCTAGCTTTGCGGGTGAAGGAAATCCCATATGAGCCAATGTGGTCCAGGATAAGTGTGGGGAAAGTGCGGGGAAATCTGTGTTGAGAGTGTAACAGAGGCAATGAAAGTGTGGGGAGTGAGGGTGAGTTTGGGAGTGTTTAGGAGGATGAAGCAGTGTAGGAGAGGTAAGGCCGTGCGGGGGAGTGAGTGTAGGGGAGGTTGAAGTGTGTGGGGTGGTGTGAGTGTGGGAGTGTTAATGTGCGGTATAATGTGGAGGAGGTAGTGTAGGGATGGAGTGTGGGAGTGTTAGTGTGAGGTGTGGAGTGTGGAAGAGGCAGTGTGGGGTGTGGAGTGTGAAAGAGGTGGTGTGGGGTGAAGAGGAGGTAGTGTGGGGATAGTGTGGAGTGTGGAGGAGGTAGTGTAGGGATAGTGTGGGGTGTGGAGGAGGTAGGGTGTGGGAGAGGAAGAGCATCTAAGTGGTAGAGTTGCGTGGGAGGCTTTGTGTGAGTATATGACGCAGTATAAGTGAAGAACAGGTGAGTGCCGTGGGACAGGAGACAGGAGTGGGACGATTGAGAGAGAGGAGTGGGACAAGTGAAAGAGGAGTGGGACGGGTGAGAAAGAGGAGTGGGATGGGTGAAAGGAGTGGGGAACAGGTGAGAGGAGTGGGACAGGTGAGAGAGGAGTGGGACGAGTGAGAGAGAGGAGTGGGATGGGTGAGAAGAGTGGGACAGGTGAGAGGAGTGGGACAGGTGAGAGGAGTGGGACGGGTGAGAGAGGAGTGGGACGGGTGAGAGAGGAGTGGGACAGGTGAAAGGAGTGGGACGGGTGAGACAGAGGCGTGGGACGGTGAGACAGAGGCGTGGGACGGTTGAGAGAGGAGTGGGACGGATGAGAGATTGACAGTAAACAAAGAGAGGACTAGAAGATTGCAGGACTGATAGTGGAGGGTTGATAGTGGAGGTATGATAGTGGAGGGCTGGTAGTGGAGGGCTGGTAGTGGAGGAGTGATATTGGAGGGGTGGTGGTGAAGGGCTGGTGGTGGAGAAGTGGTAGTGGAGGGGTGGTAGTGGAGGGGTGGTAGTGGAGAGGTGATAGTGGAGAGGTGGTAGTGGAGAGGTGGTAGTGGGAGGTGGTAGTGGAGAGGTGGTAGTGGAGAGGTGGTAGTGGAGAGGTGAGGAGGGTGGTAGTGGAGGGGTGGTAGTGGAGGTGTGGTAGTGGAGGGTTGATAGTGGAGGGTTGATAGTGGAGGGTTGATAGTGGAAAGCTGGTAGTGGAGGGCTGGTAGTGGAGGGCTGGTAGTGGAGGGCTGGTAGTGGAGGGCTGGTAGTGGAGGGCTGGTAGTGGAGGGCTGGTAGTGGAGGGTTGGTAGTGGAGGGCTGGTAGTGGAGGGCTGTAGTGGAGGAGTGGATTGAGAGGGGTGAGTAAGGCTGGTGGTGGACGAAGTGGTAGTGGAGGGGTGGTAGTGGAGGGGTGGTAAGTGGAGAGGTGTTAGTGGAGAGGTGGTAGTGGAGAGGTGGTAGTGGAGAGGTGGTAGTGGAGGGTGTGGAGAGGTGGTAATGAGAGGTGGTAGTGGAGAGTGGTAGTGAAAGAGGGTAGTGGAGGTGGTAGTGGAGGTGTGGTAGTGGAGGGTATAAAGGAGGGTTGATAAATGGAGGGTTGATATGGAAGCTGGTAGTGGAGGGCTGGTAGTGGAGGGCTGGTAGTGGAGGGCTGGTAAGTGGAGGGCTGGTAGTGGAGGGCTGGTAGTGGAGGCTGGTATGAGGGGGAGGGAGGGCCCGGTAGTGGAGGGTGTAGTGGAGGGCTGTAGTGGAGGGTGGTAGTGGAGGGCTGGTTTGTGGAGGGCTGGTAGTGGAGGGCTGGTAGGAGGTGGTAGTGGAGGGCTGGTAGTGGAGGGTGGTAGGGAGGCTGGTAGTGGAGGGCTTAGTGGAGGGTTGGTAGTAAAAGGTATCAGTGAAGTGAAAGATAACGGGAGCATACACGGATGCACAACAGAAGAAGAGACTATGGGCAGAGTAGGGAGTGAAGTTGGTTCTATAAGAGGAAGGATGTTTCTATAATTGGGTGAAAGACCATAAGACGAAAGGATGACACTTAAAAGGAAGAACAATATAAGACGACGAATGACCTTAAATACGGATGGCTATAAAGGTTGAGACATTAAAGAAGGATGCCTAAAGGAGGATTGGAAGGTCCTTAGAGAGGAAGCTGCCTATGAAAAGGACGAAGGGGAGGTCATGAGGGAGAAGCATCCCTATAAGAGGGAACTCTTATGGGACATAATAGGCGAGGTGGCCCTTTAAAGAGTGGAGGTGCCTAACATAGCAGGATGCCTTGAGAGCGTGATGCCCTCATAAGAAAGGATACACAGGCGGATGAAGCTATAAGAGAGGAGAAATGGTCGTAACGACGAGCATAGCAGAATGGCGTAAATAATCAGGCTAGAAAAGTAGTGAGAATGGGAGAATTGAATAGAGAGAGGTTGCCATTGCATTACAAACAGTGTAACTCAGCAATGTTACACATTACACAATGAACAAAATAAACCCATGCACATTATCGGAGAAAGAATGCGACATTCAGCAGAGCCAACAAGCAGTGAAATAAAAACTCTGTAGGCAGGGCGGACAAACAAGAGTAAAGAACAGGTCATGAGAAAGCACACACATAACAGACAATGCCTCCCATGGGACATAATGGAGAATGCGACGTGTGGTGAACCAGTTAATAGGGGAGTTTGCCTTCCAACACAGCCCGTCCACCTGGTGTCGCTTCGC